AAGAGCCCAAATGTCCATTGACTGATTAATGGATAAAGATGATGTGGTAGATACATATGTATACACACATGTATAAACACACACACACTAGATTATGCAGTCATAAAAATGAATTATTTTATTGTTATTATTTTTTTAATGTTTTATTTTATTATTTATGAGACAGAGAGAGAGAGAGAGACAGCGCATGAGAGGGAATGAGAGAGAGAGGGAGACACAGAATCTGAAGCAGGCTCCAAGCTCTGAACTGTCAGCACAGAGCCTGACACAGGACTCAAACTCACAAACTGTGAGATCATGGCCTGAGCTGAAGTTGATCACTTAACCAACTGAGCCACCCAGGCACCCCAAGAAAGAATGAAATCTTAACATTTGCGAAAACATAGATGAAGCTAGAAGGTAATAGACTAAGTGAAATAAGTCAGTCAGAGAAAGACACATACCATATGATTTAAATCGTAGAATTTAAAAAATAAAACAAATGAACACAGGGGTAAAAAAGAAAGAGAGAGACAGAGACAGAGACAGAGAGAGAGAGAGGCAAACCAAGAAACAGACTCTTAACTAGAGATAACAAGCTGATGATTACTGGAGGGGAGGTGGGTGGGTTGATAGGGGAAATAGCTGTTGTGCATTAAGGAGGCCACTTGTTGTGGTGAGCATTGGGTGTTGTATGTAAGTGATGAATCAGGAAATTCTACATAAGAAACCAATAGCATACTGTGTGTCCATTACATGGAATTTAAATTAAAAATTGGAGGAAGAAAAACAAAATACAAATTCCAATATATTGTATTTTTACACAATTTTTGCCAAAATTAAGTGCTGTAAAACTTTAGGAATGTAACCAAACCAAAGGAGAGTTTGTCCAACTAATGCACAGCAAACCAATAAAAATGGACACTGAGGCTACACACAGAGAAAGAGGCTACTTATTAGTGTAGCACCAGCTAGAAGAAGAGGGAGCTAATGGTCCAAAGTTTTGAACTCCCTGATGCCTTGAAAGTGAGGATTTTTAAAAGTAAAATTTGTAGCAGTGGTTCCCTAAGAAGGTGGATGCATTGACTGGAGGCCCATGCAGTCATGCTAGCATGTTCTGGTGCTTCTTCATCCAGTCTTGAGACTTGGAATTTGAAAATATATCTTTACTCTTTAGGTTGGAGAGTTCATTGGGTACATCGGATGATTATATCTCAAGGATAATTCTGATTAACTACTTGCCCTACAGGCTCCTTTGAATGATAAGCAAGTATCCTTCTCCTTTGAGCTCAGTTTTCCTTGACTAGCCCCATACCTGGACTTGATATAATCTCTGGTGTTCATCCTTCCATCTGAACTGACAAGATGGACGCTGGCTTCAGGAAGAAGGAACTCATTTTACAGAATGTTATTTTTGCTATTCCATGTGCCTGCACCTCACTTTCTCCAGATAATTTTGTGAGTCTTTACTCCTTTTAATGTGGCCTGATCACTGCAAATTTCTCTGAAAATAAAGATTATTTTAACATAGTAAGTCCAACTGTCTTTATGCACTCTCTTCACTTTGTTTTTCTCCATAGCCCTTGTCACCATTGACATCCAGGTACGTCATTGTTATTTCTCTGGTCACCTCTGCCCCTACCATAGAATGATACTTATTACATAGTCCTTGCTATTTCTCCAACTGCATGGCCCATCAACTGATGTTTCCCATGGTCTGAAACACTTTTGTCCTGAGTACTTACATGACTAACTCTTCCCTCCTTCAAATCTTTGTTCAATTGCCAATTTTTCATTGAAGCCTACCTTGACCACCCTATCTGATAGCTTCCACATGCCCCAACACCTGGGCCCTCCATCCCCTAAGCTGTTTTACTTCTTTTTTATAGCACCTCTCATCTCCTAATATGTTGTATCACTGATTTTTGCATTTTTGTTTTTTTTCCCCCTGCTGAAAATTTATAGTCTATAAATATGGTAGCTGGTAAGGCCAGATTTCCATATCAACATATGAATCTTCCTTAGTATATGTGAGCTGCTTATACTAGTTGATTGCAATTAATTCATAAATTTCAATATATTTACAAAATTTAACTGAAAAGAGGTCAAATTTTCTGCATGCATGCAACACAACTTAAAATTAATATTTAAAAAAGGAAAAATGTGTCATTTAGCTTGCAAATTAAAAAATTCCACTTTTTTAAAAATATTAAATTACTCCTAGTTAAGTAAGAAATAAAAAATGTAACTTTCCATTACCTATATACCAGGCCACTATAGGAATAATTAATATTACTACATATAAGTTAAAAGTGAAGCAACACTCAGGTTAATAATGCAGATATTAATTTCCTGTATCATTAAACAGGTAATAAAATGTAAATAAAACAAGCAGTTGTTACTAGGTGCAGAAGCAAAAACAAACAAAAATTAATTGAACCTGAAGGGAATTAGAATTTGCCACTCCTAAAATATGCCTCTTTGGCATAAACGTTTTTTTTGTGCTGGTTATTTTTAAGGAAATAGTAGACACAGTAGAAGCTCTGGAAACCGAGTATAAGTCGTCTTTTTGTAAAAGACACTTAAATTTATAAAGGAAATCTCTACTTATATAAATGCCTCCCTTTTTGTACCAGGAAGAGAACTAAACCTATAGAAACTTCCAAGAATGGGGAAGGCATGGCCTTAAATCTGAATAACAAGCATACCCTTATTTACTCTGATTTTCCTAATGACTTCCTATAACTGGTTTCCATCTTTTGTTTTTATCAGGAGATAGTGTTTAAGGGGGTGGTGACTTGGGTCACTTGGGGAATTAGTTTTCTTGGTCATCTTTTCATCTGAAAAGTTTCACCTCTTGGTATGTGAGTGGCCAAATGATACAACGATGTCAAGGAGTAGAAAGGAAGGATTTTACTTACACCAAGTAAAGTAGAATATTGTCTCCTCAAACAGTGTCTCATCAAACAACAAAACTGGGCAAGTTTTAAGCTAAGGATGCATTCATATTCATGAAGGGGCTTACACAGGGGGGAATTCAGCATAGAATTGGGGCAAAAGTCACCTTAAGTTGATAGGGTCTGCCATAGTTGATCCACATTGAGTAGGCAGTCAAGGGTCAGTATCAACAATTCTCTGGCTCCGACTGGTCCAGTATTTGAGTGCTCAAAGAGGTTTAAATCCTGCAAAAATAATTCAAAAATATGTTTTGAATAAGATGAGCTGGTCAGGCATGGATCACAAGATGGCCAGAACCTAACATGATTTTTTCTTATGTCAAGAAAGCTTTGTCTTGTCTCTTTTTCTGGGGACCCCTAATTCTTTCTGCTTACAATCTCCCATGTACAGAAGAAGCATACAAATTATTAAACTTCTGTTTGTTTTTCTTTTTCTAATATGTCTTTTATTATGGATGGAGGGGGTGTCTCAGCCAAGAATCTAGAAAGGTAGAGGAAAAAATAATTTTCCTTCTCCACACAACTTATAAAGTAGAAATAAAAAGAAATAAAGAGAAATAAAATGATAAAGCTTAGATATAAATTGATGTATTTGAATGCAAGAAAAAATATAAGTAACTTTTTCACCATCCCAATCAAAAAGTTAGAGCATCACAAAAGAAAGCCACACCATCAGACTCTTCATTGTGTGACTTCTAAGGAAAAGGCAACTATTTTCTCAAACATATCATAGCTATATTTAGTCTAAAACCTTTGTGCTTGGAAACATGCCAAGCAATCTTCCTTAGAAATTGGTCCACAGGGATGACCAAATGTTGCATTATCTTCAGTCCCTAGTATATGAGGTGCCCTGGAATCATCAGGAGGACAGGAAAGATATATTCTGCTCTGCTTATGTTCACAATAGATTTCTGATATTCTTTTTAGAAATAATTTCCTGGCATTTTTTCTATTTGACCAGTGCCTGAGCAAAATTTCTAGGTTGATTAATTTTTATCTCAGAATAAAACAAAATGAATGCATTAAAATTTAAAGAGAACTTATCTCAAAGGAAACAAATACTATATTACCGAAATTTTCTAGTCAAATGGTTTTCAAAATATTTGATTTGTGAGTAAAACTTGAGGTCGACATACTTCTAGGCAGATAATATTGGAAGAAAGGTTTTTTTCCCCTCCACCTTTGGTTCACAGTAAGTATTAGTCTCTCAAAATTAGAGGTCTTTATTTAGTTGGGATCAAATATAATGGAGACATGATCAGAAAAGTATGCATACACAAGTCATGTAGGCCTTACCCAAATAATGTCAGGATTTGTGAAATCAGAAATATAGGGTTAATGGAATTGAGGTCTATGTGTAATGAATATATTTTAGAAATTTAATTTTAAATGATCAGGTTAGGAACACATATCTTCTGGAAATTAAAACTAATACGGGATCTACAATTTTAATATACCCAACTAAAGTCCTCTAAGTTTGAAATTTGTCATTTGTATTAAATAATATTAATAAATTCTTTAATACACTGAATAAAGCACTAAAATTGTTTTTAACATCATTTATTATTTATTTAACTTTTTTCAGGTTTGCTGAAATTAATGATAAATACGAATATAGAATTATAAGCATGCTCCCTGGAGTCTATCTATCTTGGTAGAATGACAGAGCCAACCCGTTAGTAACTCTGACTCTAAATAAAGTTCCTTGATCTGTGCCCTTTTTCTCATATAAAACATGTGGCTAACAGTACCATCTGGGGAATAATGTCTCACATGGACGATACACATTAAGAAGCATTTACAACAGACTGGTCTCATTTTAATTATTCAACATGCTATCTTTAATTATATTGTATTCTAATGTCAATTTATGCCCATTTTTATATTCGGCAATCAAATTAAGATTTTTTTAGACATATTCTATAAATCGCTCATTATCATCAATTTCTAGAAACACTACACTAATATAAATAAGCCATGTCTTTCACTTAAATACACTTTTTGAAGTCATTCCTGTTAAATATCAACTTTGTTTTTTTTCACAGTTTAAAGCAACTGAACACGATGGGTAAAAAGAATAACACACATGTGCCTGACTTCATCCTTATGGGACTGACAGATTCTGAAGAGATCCAGCTGGTCCTTTTCATACTATTTCTCCTGATATATCTGGTCACTGTGCTGGGAAATGTGGGGATGATATTGATAATCCGCCTGGATCTCCAGCTTCACACCCCCATGTATTTTTTCCTCAGTCACCTGTCATTTCTTGACCTCAGTTACTCAACTGTCATCACACCCAAAACCTTATATAACTTACTGACTTCCACCAAGTATATTTCATACATGAGCTGCTTCATCCAGATGTACTTTTTTGTCTTCTTGGGAGCCACTGAATGTTTTCTTCTCTCCTCCATGGCCTACGATCGCTATGTTGCTATCTGCGATCCTCTGCACTATCCAGTGGTTATGTCCAGAAGATTCTGCAGCTCCCTCATCTTTGGGTCCTATATGATTGGCTTTGTGGACTCCTCTATCAATGTGCTTTGCATGAGCAGATTGCATTTCTGTGACTCCAATGTAATCCGTCACTTTTTCTGTGACACACCCCCAGTTTTAGCCTTGTCTTGCACTGATACCCATGACATTGAAATCATGATATTTATTGTTGCTGGCTCCACTCTCATGGTGTCTCTTATCACAATATCTGTGTCCTATGTGTCCATTTTATCTACTATCCTGAAAATGACTTCCACTTCAGGAAAGCGTAAAGCCTTCTCTACTTGTGCCTCTCATCTCCTGGGAGTCACCATCTTTTATGGCACTATGATTTTTACTTATTTAAAGCCAAGTAAGTCTTACTCCTTGGGAAAGGATCAAGTGGCTTCTGTTTTTTATACTATTGTGATTCCCATGTTGAATCCACTCATTTATAGTCTCAGGAACAAAGAAGTGAAAAATGCACTCATTAGAGTCATGCAGAAGGTGGAAGCCTCTGGACAATGAAATAGGTGATGCTCAGCTTTCTAGTTCATCATTTTTCTTCTTCTGTATAATGTATTTCTTTTGCCTCTCTCCAAAAACAATTGACTCTTTAATTTGTTTGTATTTCCACTGAACCATTCTTTACTTGACCAAAAATGATCTTGGACATTTCCAGGAAGATGTCTTTAGAAATTCCATGTTGTGGGGCGCCTGGGTGGCTTAGTCCGTTAAGCGTCCGACTTTCGCTTGGGTAATGATCTCGCGGTTCGTGGGTTCGAGCCCCGCGTCGGGCTCTGTGCTGACTGCCAGCTCAGAGCCTGGAGCCTGTTTCAGATTCTGTGTCTCCCTCTCTCTCTGACCCTCCCCTGCTCATGCTGTCTGTCTCTCTCTCTCTCCTAGAAATAAATAAAAAAAAAATTAAAAAAAAGAAATTCCATGTTGTAATTGTAAACCATGAAATATGTTTTAAATCTATGATCTCAATGCATGTTTTTTTCAGTGTTGAATGTTTTTATTTATTTTTATTTATTGTCAGTTAACTAACATACAGTATAGTCTTGGCTTCAGGAGTAGATTCCCAGGATTCATTGCTTATATACAACACCTAGTGCTTATTCAGACAAGTGCCTTTCTCAATTCCATCACCCATTTTCTGCCCCCCCATCAACCCTCAGTTTGTTCTCTGTATTTAAGAGTCTCTTACGGTTTGACTCTCTCTTTGTTTGTATCCTTTTTCCTTCCCTTCCTCTGTGGTCTTCTGATAAGTTTCTCAAGTTCCACATATGAGTGATAGCATATGATATCTGTCTTTCTTCCACTTCTGTGTCTCCCTCTCTCTCTGCCCCTCTCCTGCTCATACTCTGCCTCTCTCTATCTCAAAAATTATAAAACATTAAAAAATTCTAAAAAATTATTCACTAGTGTTTTATAAATTACTTTTGGCTAATTTAATTGACAAACAACTAAGGAAAAGTTCAGTACCTCACAGTTTGGGATGTAAAATAGTTTGTGTTAACATCAAGAATGCTTGGAAGCTGTGGAAGAGAAGAAGGAAACTGAAATACCTTAACAGTCATTAACAGCTTTGTGTGTGTTCTTCTGGACCTATAGTTATGTACATGTGTGTGCATACTATATACATAAACAAAATTTCTGTCATTTTCCATGTGTTTTCTACATTTTCTGTATATACTGGCAAGTTTAACTTTTGATAATTCTTTTGTCATTGAAATCTGAAATGAATGTGTTCTGAATATTTAGAAAAAAATTAACACTTTTATCTTGCAATGCTTTGGATCTGAAATGTAAATGCATCAACTTAAAAATCTATAAGCAGTGACCTCACTTTGGTGACTATCTGCTAAACATTTTAAAACCTTACCTTTCTGCAACATTCAATAAGCTTCAGTAGACTGCTGCTTTGTTTTGTGTGGTTTTTAAAAAAAATTATTGCTTTTCTCATAATTTTTATAGGTTTGCTATCATCACTAAAAATAAATGTTGAATTAACTGTTTGGCTCATTTGTTTTAAATTTTTAACAGAAACAAAATGTAAAGCCAATAAGTGACAATGAATTCAGAATTTGTGGCAACACATAAACTATGGTCAGACTGCTGAAATTTCCTTTATTTTTACATTTTCTCTACATAATCTGAATTATAATTTTCATTTTCTCTGCTATGTAGAGGTTAAGAATGTATTTTTCCACTTTCCAAGTATTTGATTTTTTATTTAAACTTTTGTATCTAGATAGTTTTAATTCATGGAATAATATTATAAACTTTTCATTTTTTGAAACGAATATAACATTTTTGTGTAACTATAGTTGATTATTTTTCTTACATACTTTTTTAAATGTTTAAACTAAAGTGCAAAAGCGTAAACTTTCTTTTAGAAGTTAAAAGTTAAAAATTTTTTCACTAACTTGAGGTGCCTGGGTGGCTCAGTCAGTTGAGCATCTGACTTCAGCTCTGGTCATGATTTCACAACTAATGAGTTCGAGCCCTGCATGGGGCTCTGTGCTGACAGCTGAGAGCCTGGAGCCTACTTCAGATTCTGGATCTCCCTCACTCTCTGCCTTCCCTTGCTGACATTCTGTTTCTCTCGCAGAAATAAATAAACATTAAAAAATTAAAATTTGTCTTCACTAATTCAAAAGTACCAAAAAACGTATCCAAATCTTTTAAATATGCATTATTTTCTTCCACTTAATATATTTTTAAAGTTTCCTCCTAATATATCATGCCATTTAATATTATTATTATTATTATTATTATTTTGCCTTGATATCCATGTGGTCTAGACTCTTTCTTTAGAGCTATTGTTATTTGTTTTTGTTTGCAACTGGTAACAAGTACATGATAAATATTTATTGTTCAATGATATATTTTTGGCTGACCTTTCATCTTTTATATGCACTGTCATTTAATATATTTATTGGTATTTTTTTCATTTTTCTGATGTTTTTTTATAAATTATCTTTTTACCTTGTTTTCATTTATATCTCCTTCTATGATTAGGAAATGTATCCTATTGGCTTGAGTTGGCAAAGATGGCCGATAGATTCTTTCTGATTTTGTAGACAGCACTTAGGTTGAATAAATGTTAATTGAGTTAAATTAAATTGTAATTAAAGTAGGACTACTGTATCTTTTTTATAATATAATTTGGAAAGCATGTATGTATTACATGCATGTTAGTTTAATCTATACACAATATGAAGGAAATAGACTGTGCTTGCCCTATGAAATTCCCTATTATATCTGTGCATATCATATTTTATGTAAAATGTGGTCTAGACATAATTTAAAACACATCCTTTTTTATCTATGGTGCCATGCCAAAATGCAGTTAAATACAAACATGTTAAAGAAATAAGAGTAGAATAGAGCATGTCAAAAATATGAGGGTGCATGGGTGGCTCAGTTGGTTAAGCAACTGACCCTTGATCTCAGCTCAGGTCATGATCTCAAGGGTTTGTGAGCTGGAACCCTGCATTGGGCTACATACTGTCTGCTTGAGATTCTCTCTCTCCCTCTCTTCATTCCTCTACCACTTTCTCCCTCTCTCTTTCTCTCTCAGAATAAATAAACTTAAAACATTTAGAAAAAAGAGCATGTCAAAAATATGAAAAGCTGTGCCTCCTTCCAGATAATTGATAGTCTTGGTAATAACATATTTTGTCGAGCACTTATCAGTACTAGACAATATTCAAAGGATATAGTTTATCCTCACAAGATAGCTTTCAAGCAGATACTAGCAATATCCAAATATCCAATATCCAAATGTTAATTTCACATAACAGAAAGCAATCTTTCTATTCCTCTAGGCAAAGACTTTAAGAATAATCCCATAATTTTCTTTTTGTCTCACATACCTCACACCCCCTTCAGCTGCATACTATGTTGATCCTAAATATAGAATATATCTAGAGTCTATCTCTCAGCACATTCTCTGTCACCACATTGGCCCAAGAGACTATGGTCTCAGAATTATTGCTGCAGCCCCTTAGTTTGTCACTCTGACCTTACCCATCATGAATTTGATCTCAATGTAAGAGCCAGGGTGATACTCTAAAACAGTATATTGGATCATATCACCTTTCATAAATTCTACCAGAATTCTCCTCCCACTAAGAATGAAAACCAAAACTTTTACAAGAGCTTATTGGTCCAAAATGATCGTGTCCCCACTCCTTACATGTAATAACTCATTCTTTATCGTTCTGTCCATCATGCTTACTTTGTTTCAACAACATGCCCTCCCAACTCTGCCTGTCTGTATTAAGTCTTGATAGTGCCTGGAATTTTCTCTTTTCTCCTCTTCACCCTGACACTTCCTTTTCATAGACAACTGCATGACTTTTTTCTTATTGTTTTCTTAAAAAGAATATCCCTTACCACTTGATTTAAAATTGTATCTGTTCCTAGCTCTCTTTCATGTCCCATTTGTTTCCCATAATGTTTTCTCTCCAACTAACATTTTATATATTTAGCTCATGCCTTTTGTTTCTTGTATCACTCCTCTTCTATCCTTGTATCTTGTAAGCTCTATGAGCACAGGGTTTTTGCTTACTTTGTTCAGTGTCATACCCCCATCACCTAGAAAACAGCCTCAATAACTCTATATGAAGGATGCATTTTGCAGATAATAAACCTGGGGCACAAAGAGATTCAGTAACTGGTTCATGGCCACTCTGAGAACAAGCTCAGGTTGGATCTCAGACACTTTTCTCAGAGGTGAAAAGATAGAATTCATTATTATATTAAAGCAAGCATTAAATAAAATATCAGGGGCTGTTAAAAAGTGTGTGTTGCTGGCACTCTAGAATTGCTGATGGAAGGCAGGGTGATTTTGATGATACTTGCTAAATTTTCTTAAACATACAGGTTCAGTCCTACTTACAAAACGAGAGATTCTGGAAAAGAAAGAACAATTTATCAGACGACAGTATGGTTCTGAAGAGTGAGAACCTGTAATGATCAGGGCACAGGCTATGAAGGTATAATGAAAGGATTCAGAGACCAAGTGTCTCAAAAAAGAAAAAAAACAAGTACCCTCAGTTATATACTGCAGAGTTTAGCTGGCTAAGGTTTGTGGCTGGCTCTTTTTCACAAGGTCATCCTGGGACCTAGGTTTCTTCTTGGGAGAAAGAGGAAATTTTCACATTAGGAAAACAATCCTCTCATTTTTGTTCATACAAACTTTTAAGGAGGGACTCAATATATTTAATAGACATAGGACTGTTCAGGTCACCCATTTCTTCTGATGTGAATATCTTTATGCAATTGTACATTTCATTTAATTTTCAAAAATATTAACAGAGTTGTTTGTAATATTCTAATATTTGTGGGGACAAAGTGACATCCCTTCTTTCAACCTGATTTTGGTAATATGTATCTTCTGTCTTTACAATGGTGACCACATGAATTATAATATGCATGTTTAATATAGTACAGTGTACATAAAGTAATATAAAAGGCACCTCTTAATGTCAGAAACTTAGAGCAGTAAAGACCCAGTTTTTCTGTCCTTTTCTATTTTCCCCACAAGTTTTACTTTTATGCCTGGTTTAAACCAATAATGCATCAGCATAGTTTTACCTCAGTCATTTATTCTTTAAAGCCATTATAATCAAATATCCAATATTATATATATATATATATATATATATATATACATATATAAATGTTAATTTATTTTTTAGAGTAACAGAGAGACAGAGTATGAACATAGAAGGGGCCAGAGAGAGAGGGAAACACAGAATCCAAAGTAAGCTCCAGACTGAGCTGTCACCACACAGCCCGATGTGGGGCTTGAACTCATGAGCCATGAGATCATGACCTGAGCCAAAGTCTGATGCTTAACCAACTGAGCCACCCAGATACCCCTAATATTTTTTATATTTATACTCATTGTAACATTTTTGGTGTCACTTATTTCTTTATATAGACACATATATTTTCTTCTGTTACCATGCTTCCTTAGCCTGGAAAAGTGTTAGAACAGAAGTTTGCTGGCTATAAATTGTTTCAGTGTGTGTATATTTACTTCTGCAAAGAGTCTATTTTGTTTTTATATTTGAAAGATATTTTAAATATTTCCATGGGTATTCAATTCTGATTGACAGTGACTATCTTTCACTACTTTAAATATTTCTTCATTATATCTGGTATGAATCATTTCTGATGGCAACTGCTCTAATTTGTATATATTTTTTCTTCTGTATGTGACATGCATTTTCCTCTAGTGCTTTCATAAATCATTGAGACTAAAGAATCTAGTTGTGTTTTGTTGGTTGATTGGTTTGCTGTTTGCATTTATCCTTCCTAGGGTCCACTGACTTTCTTGGATGCATGGTTCGATGCTTTCCTCATTTTAGAAAATCTTGGCCATTATCTTTTAAAATATTTCTTCTGATTCATTCTTTCTCTATTTTGTTCTGGATACTAGACTGTTTGATATTGTGTCACGCTTGTTAGATACTTTTATTCTCACTTTTTTCTACAACTTTCATTCTGTTGCCTTAATTTCTATTGTCTATCTTCAAGTTTTCTACCTTTTCTCAACCTTTTTGAACTACTGATGACCCTGTTGAAGGAATTATTTACCTCTGACACTGTGACTCTGGAGGTGTGTGTTTATTTCTAGAGTTTTACTGGACACTTCTTCACAGTTTCCATCTGTCTGATGAAATACATAATCACTTATATAATGTTTACAATGTTTACAGACTCCACTAGATCTCTTAACCTAGTAATTTCAACATTTAGTCAAGATCCCCAGGAATACCTTCTTTTTAAAAGTTGACTTTATTACTATTCTTTTTTTAAACGTTTACTTATTTTTGAGAGAGAGGTTACGTGGATGTTTGCAAAATCAGCTCTCTGATAGACTCATGAAAAGTTATAATTTTGGTGCTCACTTCAGCAGCACATATACTAAAATTGAAATGATACAGAAAAGATTAGCATGGCCCCTGCACAGGGATGACATGCAAATTCGTGAAGCATTCCATATTTAAAAAAGAAAAAAATAAAAGTTATAATTTTGTAGATTGCTTGGATTTTTAAAAACATTATTTGCAGCTTTCTACATTTAAGTGAAAGTGGACATTTATTATTTATTTATTTATTTTAAGTTTTAGTTTCAGCATAGTTAGGTTACAGTGTTATATTAATTTCAGGTATACAAAATAGTGATTTAACAATTCCATGTATTACTTAGTGCTCATCAAGATAAGTGTATTCTTAATCTCATTCACCTATATATACACTCTTTTAATCCCATTCAGTGAGATGATTTCAAATATCTCCTTTCTAGATAATGACACATGCATCAGTGCACTATTTCCCTGGCATTCTAGTTCTGCTCCTTGAAAACGTAACAAAATTTCACAATCAGCATAGATACAACTGATAACACTGATCTCCTTTCTTCAATCCTCTCTCCCTTCTCACTGTTTCTTTCCTTTTTATTTTCTCTTCATCTTATTAATCATCCGCATTCAAAACATGAAAATTCTACATGTTTCAATACAGGTACAGGAAGCAAAATTTTGTTTTTCAGGTCATAGGGATAGTAGTGAGTGGTAACATTCCCCTTTCAACCTTTTGATTCCTGGCCCTGTGAATCCTGGCTGTGGGAAAACTAGTACCGTACACTAGATGCTGATTCATAGCATATATAGCCTTTATTTGTGATCTCTATTGAAAGATGTCCAAGAAGAAAAGAAAGACACTAAAAAATGAAACAATGCATTTTTTATTGTAACTTCTTCAACTGGAGACAATGTACACCATTCTTAATTTATTTAAATTCAATGTTTAGTGTGAAAAATATAATTAATTGATAAACCAATTTTTTGAAATGCTCTTTCCATTGCCTCTTTTACATCTTTGTTCCTTAAACTGTAGATGATAGGATTCAGCATGGGAATCACAATCGTGTAAAATGTGGAGACTATCATGTCATGATCCAGAGCATAGATGAAAATCGGTATCACATACATGAAAAGGATGGTTCCATGATATACTGACACTCCAGTTAGATGAGAGCCACATGTCGAAAAGACTTTCCGCCTCCCTTCAGCAGAATGAATCTTCAGAATGGCCAACAGAATGAACCCATAGGAGATCAGAACTATCAGGATAGTGACTATCTCAATAGAGCCCACGAAGTAGAAGAGCAGGAGCTGGTGTGTGTGAGTGTCAGAACAAGAAATGGCGAGGAGAGGAGGGATGTCACAAAAGACATGTCTAATTTCATTGGATGCACAGAAGGACAGGCTGCATGTGGCCACTGTGTGTACAGAAGCATGCAAAATGCCACCCACAAAGGAAGCAACGATGAGTGGCACATAGACTGTGGGTGACATGCTCACTGAGTACAGGAGAGGGTTGTAGATTGCTACATAGCGGTCATATGCCATTGCAGCCAAGAGAAAGCATTCTGTGGTCCCAAAGGTAACAGCAAGAAACATCTGTGTTGCACATCCAAGGAATGAAATGACTTTCTTCTTTGACATGAAATCTACTAACATGTTTGGAGTAATAACTGAGGAAAAACAGGCATCCACAGATGATAACACAGTTAGAAAATAGTACATGGGGTTGTGGAGCCGGGAATTTCCAATGACTAACGAAACTAAAACTAAATTTCCCATCAGAGTAAAGAAGTAGATTGCTAGAAACAGGAAGAATAAGGCTGTCTGCAATTCGACCTTATCTGTGAAGCCCTTCAGTACAAATATTGTGACTTCCGTGTCATTCTTCATGTTGGTATCTCATGAAACAAAGTTGAATATATTAATACAATTGTAATTCATATTAATAGGATAAAAGTGGCCATTTGTGTCACTCACAGAAAGCGAACTCTGTCTTCATATTTATTTCTTGGCAATGCATAACTCCCTAGTAGTTGATGAAGAGACAGTGACAAGATGGTGGATCAAAGGTTGATGCCACTCACTGCAAAATTAAATGGAAGATTTGAGTTTTTACTCACTGGCTCAATTTATGTCATTTCTAAAACTGAAGTCAAATCAGTATGTACAACTGACATCTATTAAATGTTTTCCTATTAAATGACATTAAAATACGAAGTGCAAAGGTAAGTATGTTTTTCTTATAACATAAAAACAAAAGATAGTATATCAATGAACACAACATTGGAATTCACATCAGAATTCTAAACATTTCAGCAACTATGTAAAATTATTTGCTATATTCTACTCACCCATAGAAAAAGACATTAATATTTATTTCAAAAACTGGAACAAATATTGAAGAAAAATTTTTAAAAAATAAATATTTAAATTAATTTAAAATATAGAATACACTAAATTAGGTTAGTTTGATAGATTAAGAGCCAATTGGATAGTGATATTTTAGAGATTTATCCCTAAAATCTTGCTAACTCCATTAAGTTATTTTTAAGAAAGTAGCCAAGACTGTTTTCAAAAATATGGACCATGACTGGATATAAAATTCTATGACAGCATATGTTTCATTCAATGTGTTTTTGAAATATGTAACAATATATTATTCTTTTGAGGATGAATATTTGGTCATTTGTATGGATTATGGAAGTCTACATATTTGATAATGTATGTTCTTCTATTCTTTCAAAATCTTATGTTGAAAGTGGAAGCATTATAAGAAAAAATAGAAAATCTGTTTTTTTCTTTCAGTATATTACAATTGAATATATTATGTTGATTTGGGATCACTGAATGAATAACTAGGTAATTATTATCTAAAAGTGCCAAATAAATTCATAAAATCAGTAATTAAAACTATAAAAAATCTTTGCACTTAGATCATGTACTTAATGTTTAAAAGAAGAAATATTAGCAGGAAATGAAAGTTAGAAGGTGTAGAAAAAACTTTTCAGGCATACTTTCATGGTTAATCAAACTAGGAGTCAAAGTATTAGCTGAACCTGAATTCAAAGTTACATTATTTGCTCATAATATAACAATAGTTGGAGGATAGGTTTTATTCAAATTATTACATTAAAAAAAATTTAGATACCCACCCATAGGACAGGTGAATCAGTCCTGAGGGCACATAATCTTTATATTGTTAATTATTTAAGTTAATAATGCAAGTTGATTCTTAGTTTCAACACATTGACATGGATACCATCAGTAAGAGGGAGAGCCATTTGGATTAGAAATAGTGATAGAAAAAGAGGAAAGTGAATCCCAGTAGCCTTCTGGGAATGATAAAATCAAGATCACTAAGAATTGTCAATACAGGGAGAAAACATTTTCATAGATTATTGGAAAGATTAATGGCAGAGAAAACATGAAAAGCTCATAGGAGACAGCAAAAAAAGCAAATTTAAGTTGAAGTCTATGTTTTGGAAATAAAAGTTACAACAAAACAAATTAGAACACTCAAATAAACTACTTATCCTAATTAACTGAATATTTTTGAACTTCTCTAACACAGTGAAATGCTCCTAAATATATAATTTCATTTAAAACAAAACAAAACCTTGAGGCACTTAGGTTGCTCAGCTGTTTAAGCATCTGACTTTGGCTGAGGATATGATCTTATGGTTCATGGGTTCGAGCCCCACGTTGGACTCTGTGCTGACAGAGGCTAGACCCTGGAGCCTGCTTTGGATTCTGTGTCTGCCTCTTTCTCTGCCTCTACCCTGCTGGCATTCTCTCTCTCTTTCTTTCTCTTTGTCTCTCAAAAATAAACATTTAAAAATTTTTAAAAAAAGAAGTAGGAAGATGGCTCCCCTCCCCCCAAAAAGCAAAAACAAACAAACAAACAAACACCTTAATGAATTGATTGTGAAACCTTGAATATACTTTTTCTTATGTTAAAAAAAAGGAAGGGTGCCTGGGTGGCTTAGTCCTTTGAGTGTCCAACTTTGGCTCAAATCATGATATCATGGTTCCTGAGTTCAAGCCACTTATCAGGCTCTGCGCTGTCATTGCAGAGCCTGCTACAGTACCTCTGTGCCCCTCTTTCTGCTCCTCCCCTGCTCATGCTCTCTCTCTCTCCCTCTTTCTCTCTCTCTCTTTCAAGAATAAATGAACATTTCTTAAAAAATTAAAAAGGATAAAAATGCCATGGGGAAAAATATCATGAATATTAACCAAAGGGAGGTTCAGATAAGAGTTTACATAGATGAGGTAAAAACAGAAAAGGAAAAAATATATATAAAAGACAGACTTTGATAAATATGATGAAATCAATCAATATTCTAATGTAACAATGAGTCACATGAAAAAGTTCAACCCCAATACAATTCTCGGCCTTAGGTTAATGATATACCCGGTACAAGGACAATTACATGGACAATTACATTCTGAACACATTCAAAAGTATGTGTTTCTCATTCAGCTCCATTATTAAAAATCATGTATGGTACCAGGCTTTTTATTCCAAAGCAAAACATTCTTCTTTTTAATTTTCCTTAAGCTACTTTATTTTATTTTCGGTATTAGTTATCATATTGTGTTCTGTTAGTTTCAGGTGTATAATACACTGATTCAACTCTGAATAAGTAGATACAATAATGTACAGCCAGGCAGGCTAACTAAACATGTAAAATAAATATTTCAAGGTATTTTCTTTAAATAAGTCAATTTTTAATAAATTTAAGATGTTCACATTTGCCATCAAATTGCCATCAAATGTTTTAATTTTTAAAATAGTAAATATTTGAGTACAACACCAATGCTATAGCTAAATCATTGAAAACCAATTGACCACAACCTTGAACTAGATAATTCATTATTTAGCTACATGTAACACATTTTTAAAATGATTGTTAATATGTACTTATGCATTTTTCCAGTAGATTAAATCCAGTGATTTATATTATGACTATGTTTTTCCCTCCATACACAATTTATACTCCTGGATTAGAGCCTAAGTAGTTTTGTGAGTTGCATAATCTATTAATAATAGTAACAACAACAACAAAAAATAAAAGTGCACACACAGATTCCCCATAACCCTATGTGTCACTTTAAGGTGGGCTTAATTTCTTTTGGGTAAATAAGATAATGAAAAATTACAAATTTAACACTTCCATTAAATATTTTTTAAAACTTTCTTTCTGTTATTTGAGTATAACTTAGTCAATATTAATACATACTGAAAAGACCTAGAGTTATAAAGAGAGAATGACTATATTATTAAAGAATTTAATAATATATGATCCACATTTATAATTAATTTAAAGTCACTTCCAAAAATATAAGTCTCATAGAAGGTAGAATACTCCAAATATTTTGGGCTCAATACTGAAGCCCTAAGTTCACAAAGGAGTAGAGAACAGAGAACTAACATTTTTGAACTGTAGACTCAAAATGGACTTTTGCACACATTACTTTATTTCACCTTTTAGTAACTGTCACAGATACCAAGTGTCAGAGCCAAGATTCAGTCCCAGGTCTCCTTCAGAGAACACCCACTTTTCACCTCTTTTCATTGCTTCTTATTCATATCTTCATTCCGCAATCGACTTTCCTCCCCAGCACCTCCGTTGGAATAAAACAAAATATGATTTTTTATGTATTTGAATATCTTTTAAGCCATTAAGACTAGATAAACACTATGAATTAAGTAGCCATTATGAAGTGGCTTATACAATACATGGCTAGCAAAATAAATTTAGAATTATTATTATTTTCCTTACTATATCAAAATATAAATGCCGAGAGAGTTAATTAAGTTAAGTGTTTTCTTGCCCTCTATTGAGAAATTTTATCTTGTTTCACTTTGAAGTGGTCTGTCTTCTGACATCACGAAAATGAAAGTATAAATGTATTTGCCTTCTCATTACTTTTACAGATGCAAATTCATTATTTTCCATTTCCTTTGTTTTATTCCAGGAAGTGTTGTTTTTCAGTTTTTAGACAGATCTATGTAAGTCCAATTTGTGATGAATGCATTCTATTCACCTATGCAATAGGCAACAAGGAAAGGCTTTAGTTTTCGGGATTTCAAAGCATATTTGACCTTGATATTTTAGGTTTCGTTTCCTAAATATTATACAAATTATCTGAAAACTTTGCTTACCTAGAGAACAGCAAAGGCAAGTTTAGATACATTATGACTATAGTTCATTTAGATTGCTTATATCCACTTAACTGTTGATAAAACCCAGAGGAGATGTCCCAATGAGAATATGTCCCAACTGTCTTCTGGTCCAAAATAACAATACAAGGATTTACTCAATAATAAAGAAGTAAGTGGTCTGGAATAATGTACTATATGTTAATATTTTAGAAAATAAATCATTATTTGATCCCTGGTTTAAAATAATGACATTAGATAAGAAATCTTTGGATCTGAGACCTGCTCTTATTAGCTCTGACACTGGGATAGAATTAACTTCTCTGAGAACCCATTTTCTCATCTTGGCAATGTAAACCATTTTTTTTATTGTGACAAGTCAGTAAACATGGTAAACTAAAATGGTATCTCCTGCAGAATCTAGCAGATGGATTTATAGTTAATCAAATGTATTGTACATTTACTCTGTTCAAATCATAAAGTATGTGGTTTTTAAATTTAATTTTTTAATGCTTATTATTTACTTTTGAGAGAGAAAGAGTGTGTGTGAGTTGGGAAGAGACACAGAATCCAAGGTAGGCTCCAGGCTCTGAGCAGTAAGCAGAGTCCGTTGAGGCAGGGTGGGGGGCTTGAACTCAGGACCCATGCGATCCTGGGCTGAAGTAGGATGCTTAACCAACTGAGCTACTCAAGTGCCCCATAAAGTATGTGATTTTAAAGAATACATTTAGAAGTCTGCAGTTGGAGACTGCTGGAAGTATTATTCAAAGTAATA